AGCGGAAAATTTCACCAGGACCATGGAGACACTCAAGGGTTCGTGTCGCATAGTGGCTGTTCTATTATTTTCCAAAATGATATTTGTGTGTTTCAAAAGGTATATGTATTAGTAGCCAATAGGATTCGAGTAAAAACTTAACATGGAAACATAAATAATGTTTAAAAAGTCCTTTTCAGAGTAAAAGATTCAGTTTTTACGAAGTCTTCACCATGGTAACACTGGGTGACTTGACCACTGTTTTAGAAATTTTAAATTTCGACGAGGAAAAGAGTTTAAAAATTTTTCATTTAATTTTGGATAATTGTGATGATGCGGAATTGTTACAAGTAGCTCTCGAATTAAGTGATATTCATTTAATTCGTTGTATCCAAAGTAGATTAGAAAATTCAACGGAAAATTTCAAAGTTTTAATTGAAAGACATATAGGTGTGTGAAACTTTATAAATTTTTTCTAATTAAATTTAGTTTTTATAAAATAATTTGAATTACAAATTTTTAATTTTTAGATTGTTCAGTGTTTATATGAAAATAAAATTGAATTTCTTGAAGTGATTTATAAAACATGATTTCTTAGATTTTATAATTTTTCTAATTAAATTTAGTTGTTTATAAAATAATTTAAATTACAAATTTTTTAAAGTGTTAATTTTAAACGTTTTTAGTGTTTTTATGAAAAATATTGAATTTCTTAAAGTGGTTTATAAAATGTATTTTTTTTAGAATTTATAACTGTAAATAATGCAGTTGGTGACGAGGATGTAATCGAACCGATGGAACTGAATGACAATGAGGATGTGCAATCAAATGCCTCTACAATACCATACAATGGAGAGGAATGGTTTGATAATGAAAATAGAGAAGAATCAGATGCCAATATTGATGACGAAGAAGAACGTTATAGACGTTTATTACTTGAGGATTCAAGTGATGAAAATTCAAGTGATGACGCTTCGAGTGTTCAAGATTCCAGTATTACGACGGATTCAGGATTTGAAAAGTCGTATTCAATTTTAACATCGGAAAGCGAGCACACAGAGGTGAATAAAGATGATGATGATGATGATAGCGAAGATGATGAAGAAGAAGAAGAAGAAATAAACGAGGAAGAAGAAAAAGTAATCGAGGAAGTAGTAAATGAAGAAGTAATGCAGGAAAATGAACAACCAGATGAGGTTATGGAGCCTCAATACTACAACCAAGCTGGAGGCAGTAGAGATATCCCCAGAGAACAAGGTCAGAATAGATTTTTTACAATACAATGGGAAAGAAGTGAATTTATTTCAAAATTTAATTACGAGGGTTTGCATGTTTGTTGTAAAATTAAAAATCCACCTCATGATAAGTCGGTTGTTGAGGATATAAGATATCTTGAAAAAGCAATCCGTGCTATATGCAATTATATAATACGAAACGTAAATCTGGAAAATATGACTTTAATCAGTTTTGATTCAAGTCATATTAAGCACGGTCAAGTATTACAATTTCGTAAAGCAAAATTGTATAGCGCTGATTCTTTGTGGAATCTTATATATAAAATTGTCCAAAGCAATGAACAATTTAAGGGTTGATAATTCATTTACTGTAATAGTAAAAAGCGTGAAAGATAATCGCGGTAGTGGGGGGAAAGCAATGGTTTACAATGATATTAACGTTCGTAAAAAATCATTGTTAACTATTAACAATAAAGATAATCTTTGTTTACCACGTGCTCTCGTAGCTGCGCAAGTTTACGCAGAACGTGGCTTGTTAAGAAAAGATGAATTACATAAACGTTGGGAACTTGTCAGACACCCGGCTAGATCACACCAGCTTGTACTAGCAAAAGAACTTGTACAAAAGGCAGGTATAATAATACCTGAGGAAAGTTGTGGTATGGCGGAAATAATTTCTTTTCAAAAATATTTGGCTCGTGAAAAAATAGCTATTTTCGTTTACGACTTTAATAATTTTGGACAAGCAACAAAACCTTTATACTACAATGGTACCCATGAAATTACAGATATTGGTGAAACTGTTAAATTTAATTTGCATATAATGTTTTACCCTTTGCAAAAGCATTATAACGTAATTTTAAATTTAACAGGGTTAGCAAGTACTCAATTTTTTTGCGTGCCATGTAATAAAAAATTTAAAAACCCAAATGGACACAATTATTTAAACAGATGTACTTCTTGTTTAAAATCTCCTGCTTGCATAACAAAAGTTGAAGATGACAAAATTGTAGAAGTACAATGTGAGTCATGTAAACGATTTTTTAATGGTATGAAATGTTATGAAAATCATACCACTAAAGGTTCGTTTACATCGGAAAGTAGCGTTTGTGAGAAGCTACGTATTTGTGATGGTTGTGCACGTTTGATTAATCATGGCACTGAAAAAAATCATGAATGTGGTCGTTTCTTTTGCAAAACGTGTTTATGTAAAAGGGATTACAATCATGATTGTTTTATGGGTACTCTGAAAGATCAGGAGAGAAAAAATGAGAAACCTACTAGTTTCGTTTTTTACGATCTTGAAACACAACAAGGTCAAGAAATGACAGGTGTGCCCAACGTTAATGTTCATGTGCCTAATCTTTGTGTAGTACAAAGAGTTTGTACAAGGTGTATTAATGAGACTAATATTAATATAAATTGTGAATTATGTGGTAATCGACAAATTATTTACCGTGGTTCAAATGTTGTTTCAGATTCTGTGAATCTCGTCACAAAAAAACAAACAACTTTTGAAAGTGTCGTGTGTATAGCACATAATGCTAAAGCGTTTGATTTGCAATTTATATTAAAATATTTAGTTGAGAAGACTGGTACGCAAACAAAACCTTCTGTAATTATGACAGGTACAAATATTATACTAATACAGGTTGGGCACACAAAATTCATAGACAGTTTAAATTACCTCCACTTACCATTGAGTGCGTTACCTGCTGCGTTCGGATTCTCGGATGTTGCAATGAAAGGGACATTTCCTCATTTATTCAACACCTTAGAGAATAGCGAGTGCAGTAATGGAGAAGGGTATATAGGCTGTATACCTGAGGCCAAGTTTTACTCGCCAGACTCAATGTCTAAAAAAAGCGAGAGGAATTTTACCTGTGGTATAGAGAAATGACAAATGACAAAAATTATGTTTTTAATTTTTGGAAGGAGTTAATTGATTATTGCGTCAATGACGTCACAATTTTACGGTTAGCCTGTTTATCTTTTAGAGAAATTTTTTTCGAACGTGGTGGATTTTGTCCATTTACAAAATGTGTCACAATTGCTTCTGCGTGTATGACACTGTTTAGAAAAAAATTTTTAAGAAAAGACACAATAGGTCTTTCTCCAAACAAAGGGTATCGTGTGTCAAATAATCAGTCGAAAAAAGCAATTGAATGGTTATTTTGGTTAGAACACACGCTACGTAAAAACATAGTACATGCTGGAAAATGCCGTGAATACAGACTAAAAGAAGGCATGCTTGTGGACGGTTACTACGAAGAGCAAGGTAACCGTCATGTTTTACAATTTCACGGTTGCTTCTGGCATGGTTGTGTCATTTGTTATAAATTGAATAGAGATGTAAAGCCTAGGAACGGAGAAAGCCCATCTGTAAAATATGAACGGACACGTGTCCAATCATCAAAAATAGAAGCAGCAGGTTATGTATTAACAGAAATGTGGGAATGCCAATTCGATGAAATGAAAAAGGATAATTTAGATTTAAATAATTTTTTGAAAAATAATAAATTTATTTACGAAGCACCTTTAAATCCTAGGGATGTATCAGATGTATCAAAACTTGAAGGTTTGATAAAATGTATTGTTTTACCACCTCAAAACGAATTTCATCCGATTCTCCCTGTACGCATGCATTCAAAAATCATGTTCCCATTCTGTCGAACATGGGTTTCGGATGAATTAAAAAAAGCTATTGAGAAAGGTTATAAACTTATTAAAGTTTTTGAGGTTTGGCAATACAAGACAACAAAATATGATTGTCAAACCGGTCAAGGTGGGCTTTTTTCAGAGTATATAAACATGTGGTTTAAGCTTAAACAAGAAGCTGGAGGTTGGCCTCGTGAATGTGTTGACGATGCGTCAAAAGAGCAATATTTGCATGAACATTTTAAGGTCGAAGGTGTACAATTAGATAAAAATAAAATTGTAAAAAATCCAGGTCTTAGATCTGTTGCAAAATTGTGTTTAAATTCTTTTTGGGGAAAATTTGGTCAAAGAGACAATTTACCTCAAACGGAAATTGTACATGAGCAACAACGACTCATGGAATTATTGTTTGATTCGCAAAAAGTTGTTCATAATATTTTACCAGTAAATGATGAAATATTGTATGTAACTTTCTCGAATCAAGAAGGTACATCGCCAATTACAGAGTATACAAACGTTGTATTAGCTGCGTATGTGACAGCTCAAGCACGTTTGAAGCTCTATTCATACCTCGAGCGGTTAGACAATCGTGTCTTGTATTACGACACTGATTCGTGTATATATGTAAATAGTATTAATAATAAAAACGAATATCAACCCGAAATTGGTAGTTTCTTGGGTCAAATGACGGATGAACTCGTTGTAGAATATGGAGAGGGTAGTTATATAGAAAGCTTTGTTTCCGGTGGACCTAAATTTTACGGGTATAAAGTGATTGATTGCAAAGGTAACATTCATTATACCTGTAAAGTTAAAGGTTTTACATTAAATTATGAAAATAGTGAAAAAATAAATTTTCATAGTTTAAAAGAAATGATTGTCGATAAAACTGTAAATTCTCTGCAAACATCTTCACGAGTTATTCGACGAACGCCATATCATGAAGTGATAACATGCACAGAAAACAAAGTGTGCAAACCTGTAAACAACAAACGCAGATGCTTAGAAAAATATGACTCATTACCGTATGGGTTTAAAAACAGCACATTAAATTTATAAATAAATAAACCAACTCCTATTGTCGCAAAAAATCCTTTTGATCTTGACCTGTCGCATAATGTTAACATGTTAGTTGAATACTTTTTATTTTTTAAGTCATAGAGTACAATTTTATAAAATTTAATAATTATTATTAATTTGTTTCAGCAACTTATTACTGGGTGTATGGCTACTACAATCCGATAATTCTTCTGAATAATGAACCACAAATGCATTGTGCAACAGCAACTCAGTCGTCGTCGTCGTCAACAATGTCAGATCTGTAAAACGTTTAAAATACTTGTAAATATTGTAATAAAGATGAAAAATTTAAAAATGTAGATAATTACATATTAAATATCTTCATATTTATTTTCACCTTTCACCTGTTTTTATAAAGTAATTGGTAAAATATTCAAAATAATTATAAAAATAACAATTTTAATAAATAAAAATAAATTTTTTAATTTTTACATAAATAATATTAATAATAATTTAAGAATTTCAATTTTATAAAATTTAATCAATACATAATCTTGTTAATATTATAAAATTCTAAAAATGATATATATTAATAAAAAAGTAAACACTCAAAACTCGACACATGAATTTGTAGGTTAGTTTTCTATATACATATGGGTGATTCTCCACAAAGTGGTAACTTTTGAATATGTTAAAATTTTTTTTTTTAATTAAATTTTTTGGAAATTTTTTATTTAGATCTTTATAATAAAGCTTGAGAATGATTATTTTATAGATATTAGAGCTAAATTCTTTCTTTAGTTTTATATACAAACAATTTAAAAATTTGTAATTTAAAGGTTAAATAATTTATTTGAAAAAGTTAATTTTCGACTGCTAATAATTATAAATAGTGTAAATAAGCAAATAATTACTTTAAACTGCTTTAATTAATAAATAAATAATATTTTTACTCATACCTGTTATTGAAATTACATGTTTTGATACAGGTTAATCGAGGTTAATTGTATTCATTTAAAAAAACAAAACACTTTCATTACGCGAAACGAAATTAGGAACTGGAGTTTACAGGAACTGGAGTTTACAAATCAAAGAAAAAAATTCATTAAAACCGTAAAAATTCATAAAAATTTAACATAAATACAACTTATTAACTTAATAATATTAATGGCAAATAAAATCGCACTAAAAAAGGGAATAAAATTAATGAAAATCAATGAAATTGTAAACTCTAGTTCCAAATAAAAAAAGTGAGAAAATATTAAAAAATTATTTTTACACAGATTTGTTAATGGAAATTAGAAAACGATACACAAAAACTTAGTTTTTGAGATGAACTTTCGAATAGAATAAATAAAAAAACGTTTAAAATAAAGTTTGTGCAAAATAAAACATATTAAACTTCATGATTCATGTGTGGAGAAATGACAAATGTGCGTTTTTTGAACATTTGCAATTGAATTACAACTTTTGTTTTAAAATAAAATTTTTTTTCGATTATGATATTACTAAAAAACATATTGAAGATTAATTATGCAAAAGGTTGAAGTAGATTTGATAACAATTTTTCAAGATATAAAATAGGGAACAGTGGGGAAGCAAAAGTGACCACTGATTGAAGAATCACCCATATACACAAGAAGTTTAAAAACTTAAGAAATGACAGAAAAACGTCTGAGATAAAATAGGTTAGATTTCTGTTTACAGTTAAAAATAAAGAAAGAAATTGTCTTTTTTATATAAATTTGAAAAATATTAAAATAAATTTAAACCAAATTTTGATATAAATTTATATATGAATACTTACCTGTTAAATGTTTGAATTAATTTTCCATTTCTCTTGATTTTTAACAAGTTATTAGTGAAATATTAAAAATAATTTTACATATCCAGTTGTAGGAAATATACGGAATATTCAATATCTGTATTTATATAAAATTCTAAGAATATAGTAATACACTATATTCACTCATTTGACATTGAATGTAAACACTAAAACTTGTCACGAGAATTTTTGGTTAGGTTTTTAATGTATATTCACAACGAGTTTAAAACTTCATGTGAACCAGAAGTATAAAACCAAAGAGCAGAAACTCATGAGAGTGAGAGAGACGGTGATATCAACCTTTCTCCCTTACACTCACGATTTCTGTTTTCAGTTTACGTATTCTACTTACATAGGACTACGCCCTAAGGTCCTCTTACATTCAGCACATTGGTTACGGCGGGCGGCGGCGGAGTCAGTAAACAGCGGAAACACGGATTAAACAAGCTTGTAATAACCGCGTGCACATGCTAATTATATTTTAAATAAATTTCTTAGCTTTTAAACATAATGTATCAGCTCATGAGATTAAAGTCAAATTCACTAGTACAAGGTTGATTAAAGTATTAAGAAGCTGGTAATATGTTACTAGCTGGTTATATGTTACTAGCTAGAGAGAAGTAGTAAATTTTCTCAGTTTTATCATTTTATTTACAGAAATATATATATATATATATATTAAAAAATGTAAACGTTGTGTTATTAACACGTAAGACTTACGTTTCTTACCGATACGTATTTACAAACATAAAGAGTGATTCAGAATATGGCGTTTGTATATATATATATATATATATATATATATATACTTGTCTATCATTATTGTATATTATTAAGATCAGCGTATTGCGTTGCGTTTTGTAACTAGACCATGAGTGTGAGAGAGATGGAGATATATGTTTGCTATATTTGCACCTATGTATATTTCTGTTTTTGTCTATCTTTATTGTATATTAAGGTCAGTCTAAATATATATATATATATATATATATCTATACTCGTAACGGTCGGACCACATTCACACTTTTGTTCGTGTACCTGAATCACCTATCTACGTGAAACATTTCTTAACTCGTTACAAAAACATGGATCCTCGTTGGAAGCATCCGTTTACTTCTATGATTTGTGGCCCAACAGGCTGTGGAAAAACATTTTTCGTTAAAAAGTTTTTGAAAAATAGAAACATAATGTGTGATGTAATATTTGAACGAATTATTTTCTATTATTCTGAATGGCAAAATTGTTATGCAGAATATGGTAAAGAAATTGAATTCAAAGAAGGTCTACCACAATCAACTGATTATTCCGACGACACACGTTCGAAATTAATAATTATAGACGATCTTATGCGTGAATCCTCAAATAATACTGTTATAGACCTGTTTACTAAAGGTAGTCACCACAAAAATTTAAGTGTTATTTTTATTTCACAAAACCTTTTTCATCAAGGCCATGGACGAAGAGATATTTCGTTAAATGCTAATTACATAGTTGTTTTTAAAAATCCAAGAGATAGAGCTCAAATTCAACATCTAGCTAGACAAGTATGTCCAGAAAATTCTCGATTCGTTCAAGAAGCTTACCATGATGCAACCTCTCAACCTCATGGATATCTACTTTTCGATCTGAAACAAACAACACCTGACAACTGCCGATTCAGGACTTCCATATTTCCTTCCGACCCCAACCACTACGTTTACATACCGTCGAAGGGTATAAAATCTTGTAGAAGTAGTACATTTGTTCCAGTTATGCAGTTGTAATGAAACCTAAAACACGTAAAATAATAGGCCACAAAAATGCCTTAACGTTAAAAGCCTTATGTTTGTTGGATGCTAAACAACGATCCGCTGTTCTAAAAAAAGCAGATTAATATCTGCTTTTTTATAAGCATTTTTTTTTTTTTTTTTTTTTTATAAGTTTAATAACTTATTAAGTGTATTTGTGAATGTGCCCTTAAATATTTTACAAGGGAACGTGCCCTTTAAAAGATTGTGAGAAACTAAAATTAAAAAACACAAGAATGCGTTGAGAAAGTTAACAAAGAGAAAAGGTTCTTGAAAACTAAAAAACAGTTATTCTTCAAAAAGGTAACGGTTTTCTACCGTTTTCATCTTCCACCAATATTAGGAACATTGCTGTCAGCCATTTTTTCCTCGACATTAGGAAAGTCAGAAAAATATATGGAGAAAAAAAGTAACAACTAAATCAAAAAATTTAAAATTGAAAGAAGCACATTACTACTGACGACGATTCTACAGGGTCTGATAACGAAGAAGGAAAATTCAAAAAAATGGTAAAGTTAGTTGGTTACCTGTTATTCTT